TTATAGATGAGCTGGAGGATCAGCCAGAAGAAGTGACTTTTTGAGGTCACACAGTTGGTGAAGGAGGAGCTAATGCCAGAACTGAGAACCGCTTTATTGCAGAAACAGTCCCTTTTGTTCTACAATACACAGATCCCAGTTAATATATTTTAAAATGATTACAGGAGAGATGTTACAGACCCTTCACATAGAATCTGATCAATGCTCATTTGGAGGAAAGTGAACTATATAGCATTAGTTTTAATTGCATTCTGCATTTCAGAACAGTAATCATGATTAGAAATTAAAAGATTGAGTTCAGATTGATTTTTTTTGTCTTTGTAGCAACCAGCAAAGCTTTAAAAAGCCCGTGGAAGGGCTTTTATTAGACTTGTCTTGATGTCTCCATACTGGAGTATCAAAGACAAACCTAGTACTCAGTGTGATGTTAATTATATTGGGTTCAAATTCAGTGCTTTTTCTATGGATGTTTCTACACTTTATGAGCAGAGTGTGAGAGCAAATAGTAAATACCCATATGTGGCATAACACAAATAATTGATGATATGGAACAATAGTTTATAAGCATTAGCGTGTTCCAGGCCTTATGATGAGTGTCTGTTTTATATATACTGCTTCAATGAATGTTTATAACAACCCTACATCCATATTATGGGTGTGGAAACAGTCTCACGAGAGTTAAGACATTTGCCTCAATTCACACAAGTGTTGGATTGCTGAGTTAGGATTTGAACCCTGGTCTGCCTGATTTCAAAGTTCTTTGCACACCAAAGTAACTGCTTTTCTCTTATCACACCACGGAGCCTCAGAAGTAGGAAGGAACACATGGGGACGTTCTGATGGAGGGAAGATAACTGAGTGAAAAGAAAAGAGATTGGCAGGAAAAGAGAGCTGATGGCATGTTGGAATTATATGAGAACAGAAATCAAGAAGATATGGCTTCTGGTGCAGGCTCTGTCTGGTGTAAATTAGCAGGACTTTAGAGACCTGACATACCCATTCTATTGTTTAATTTCCTTGTCTGTAAAGGTGGGGGCTGGATTTAATGAATAGTTTCTACGCAAGCTCTAGGATTTCCAGAGATTCAAAGAGTGATGTGCTTTCTAAGAGGGCAGCACAACACAAAAAAATCAAGGCGCCTAAATATCACAAAAGGGTATATAACTCTACCAAATACATTTTTGTACGAACTTAACAAACTTTTACTGTGCACTTGCTATATGCCATGAATTTACTAGGTGCACAGTAAATTGGATACACGGCTATAGTGGAAAACACAGTCCCCACACCCCTCAAAAAGGTCATCGTTTCAAAGGACAAAGCAGATTATTAAAATGACCACATCAATAAACACTTAAATGCAAATTGTGATAAGTACTAGTATTACATTTGAGGATACTCTCCTGTTTTCAGGAGCTACTATAAAGGATACAACCAAGGGGGAGGATGCAAGCAAGGGAGGGAAGGGGGTTTGGCTGGGGTGGGGGAGAACAGTGGGGGGGAAATGCAGACAACTGTAAATGAACAACAATCAAATAATGTTTAAAAAAGAAAAAAATTTAGGATACTGAGAAACCATAACTCATGATCTAATTTCAAATAATATGGGCATCAAAGATGTCTTTTAGGAAGCAATACTTAAACCAAGACCTGAAGTTGACTAGGAAGCAGGCAGAAGAGTGGGAAAATAGTCCAGGCAGGCAAAAATATGTGAATCCAGGAGGTGAAAACGAAATTGGCCTGTGAGAGAAACATACCAGACCCACCTGATGTACCTGCCAGATTCACTTGGACCCATGTGCTCCCCTCCTCACTTTGTCTTGGTGGCTGCTGTATTGGAGACCCAGAGCATGTCCTAACCCTCATCCTCTCCCAGGGTCAGGCCAAGCTTTGACAAGGCCTGCATCATGCTAACACAGCAGTTGTATGAGGAAGTGTTTGAAATGTCAAGGAGAAACTGACTATAATTCTAGCAACTTTGCTAGAGCATACAAAAATGGAACTGATTCAAGTAATCTTAGAAAATTAGCAAAACCCTGATATGTAAACTTAACAAAAAACCCAAACCAACCCAAAACAAAAAACAATGACAAAAACGACCCATACTTATGAGTGGAAATACAAAGCTACATTATAAGATGCTAGTAAATAGATTCCCAAAGGAATAATTACTCAAAGAACAAGCAGAACTTATTTCTCATATACAAAAATTATTACCAGAAATTTATTATTGTGATGTCTTTAGCACTAGGTTAAAGGGAAAAAGCCACAGAATTATTTCAACTCATCTGCAGTCCTTCTTAAGCCTGAGACGAAAAAAAGAGAGGAGAGGCTATGGCTGCATCTGTGCCTGCCAACAGCAGGAGAAAGATGTGCATCGAGAGAGAGCTGCCTTTTCAACAAGCAGGGCAAACTGTGAGCAAAGCCGTGTCTTTCTTGGGGACCAAAGGAGAACTCCAGGAAAAGAAACTTTTGAGAAGACTAGCTGGAGGGTGACCATTGAGCTTCAAAGAAGCTCAGTCAGGTGACCACTGAGATCCCAAAGGGTTGAGACGGACTTGCTTATAAGAGACTACCAAGAGTGGAGTCACTGCTTGTACCAAACGGATGGAGAAGAGACCTTCAGGGGCACATCTCCAGGGAACCTCTAAAGAATCCCACGAACAAACTGACAGTGACCAGAGGGGAGGAGGGAGAGGAAAAGAAGGGGAAGGGACAAGCAGAGGAACATGAATAAAACACTCACGGGCACAGACAATGGGGGTATATTGACTGTGGGAGTGGGAGCATAGGGTAGGGGTGAGCAATGGGGGAAAAGGCGAGACATCTGTAACTGAACAACAATAAATTTTTTTAAAGAGAGAAAAAATAAAATAAAATATCAGATATTTTTTAAAAAGAATTCAATTAAAGAGCAGTCCAGCTTTGGGCATTGGTCACTTCCAGGGGCCTCGAATGCTGGGTTGCAATTGTTTGGGGTGCTTTTGACTGTGCTTTTTTTCCTTCTCTTTCATTGTTTCTTTCTTTTGGACCATCCCTGGAAGGGGTGAGCAACAGCAGCCAGCAAGCAGATAGAGAGGCAGAAGGAAGAGGTAAAGAACAATGTAGGCCATTGCAGTTAAAGGAAGGCCCTACCCAATTAGGTACAGATCTTTCCTTTGAATGATTATGAAAAAATTGATACAATATTAAAGCAGAATTATCTAATTCAAACTATAATATTTAATGCCTGAAAGTTACAAGAGAGAAATCTTATTAGCTAAAAAATGACCCCGGAAGCTATTTGGGGACCTGACATTTCATATAGGAGTAAGGAGGGAAAGGACCGCAAATCAAGGTTAGCAGAGCATAGTGAGAAAGATAAAATTATTTTCATAATTACACTCAACCAGATCTAACTTGTTCATAAAACCTTATAGATAATTTTCAGGGTTATTTTCACTACAAACATTCATTTTACTTCCTAAATTTCACAGCTAACCTTGCCTGTCTGTAAGAGATACTGAATTTAACTATTTATTTTAAAACATAAAAAAATTGTACAAACATATTACTATTATCTTGAAAATGCTTTTCTTAAAACATTTTAAAATTTTCTTTTAGGTATTTAAGTTTCAGGTATTGCCTTTAGGCTAATACCAAATTCACAATTTTTATCCCATTTTACTTGTTTTCTCTCTTGAGTTCAGGATAAATTTAAAAATAAAACAAGAAATGGCCGATAGAAACCCAGTACCACTGAGGCTGACAGAATCTGTCCTTCTCAGCCGCCTAGCAGAAGAGGGCACAGAGAAGTGTGTGTGTTTAGTATTATACTTCTAACTAGCAGTGAACAATATCACTTCTGCATGTATTTACCGTTCGAAGTAAGTCACGTGGCCATGCCTAATTCCAGGGAGTCATATGCCCAGAAGTAATAATAAATGGGAAATCTTGGTGACTAGTTAGAATGTCTTCCACAAACAAGAACTTAAACAGTCCCATTGTTTTTACTTGGTTTGATCCACAGGCTTTCATATTTTCCACTACCTATAATCTTGCTCCCCATTTTCACTCTGGGTTGATGCCTAGGACGTGATGCATTCTAGGTCTCGAGGGGTCCAGGCTGCATCTAAACCTGGATTTTCCTTCTCTTGATCTTCTTGTTTCTCTTTCAGCCCTGGAAAACCCTGGGAGCTTTCCTGATACCACAGTCTACATCCTTGCCTGAACACAGTCCTCTCTATTCTATAATTTATGCTCAAGTCAGTCCTCCAAGTTTTTCTCTGTTTCTTAAGGGAAAAAAGTTTTGGATTCTGAAACCTCTTTTTCAGTAAAGATTTCAAGACTGCTTGAAATGTGCTTAGAAAGAAGTCCAATTTGAAACCCAAACCTGAGTAATGATCCCTTTGTTCTAAGCAAGAACTGAATTCTCCCTGAAGAAAATAAATGTTATTCTTTTTGATGTTTGAGAAGTTACAAGACCACAAGATTTAGAGGAAACTGAGAGGACATCAGATAATATTTTTAAAAAGTTATTTTGCTGTACCTATCTTCCTTACTGAGCTACAAGATTCACGAAGGCAGGAACCAAATTGTTTGCCTTGACGTTGCTGAGCCAAATACTACTTGAATAAATGAAGCCGTGAATAAAAGAATTAGTAGGTCACTAAGATAGTTACTTACACAAGTGCAAGTAGGTTAGTAATTTTGGATAAAAGAGGGAACATATGTAAATTTACAATATGATTTAAGGTTCCAAATTAGTCTTACAAAATAGAAGAGTAACTAAGTGTGGCCTGGATGAGCAGGAAGCTCACTCAGGTGAAGAAAATACTTGGGCTTCACGGAAGCCTGATTGGGGCACCGAAGGCAAGTCCACAGAGGAGATTCTTTTGAGTGAATGTCATGAGTGTATGTTTGTGATATAGTCTTGTCCGTAAGTCAGCCAGGCAGCTGCTCAGCTAGCTGTCTGCTGAGCAGCCCAGTACCAATAATAGACAAGAGTCTCACACAGTAACTGTACTATTCACTCAGCTTTTATTGAATGCAGGTTCACTCAGAGTAGAACATCAACACACATTAATATGCTACTCACACTCTAACAGTCTAAGAGAAATATAACACATATACACAGCAATCAATGCGAGATAATGAACCTGAGTCCCAGAGTCTCGGTCTGCAGGTCCAGGAGACAGCACGGTGGGCAAGGGGGTTGTCAGCATCTTGCAAGGAAGGGCCTCCGGAGCCAGGTGGGCAGCAGGGCAGTTGAAGTCCTCAGTCCAGCAGGGCAGAGACTCTGGTGGCCAATGCCAAGGGAAATCAGCATGCCATAGAGCAGCACTCTGCTGTGTTGAGCTTGGCTGTCTTAGCAGTGGTCTAGAACTTGCCTTAGTTATACCTTGAAATACCTTGAAAGTGATGTGCTCCACCATTCTAAGTCTTTTTTGATAAATGTCTTGGCACTCCTGCTGGCAAGTAGGGAATTTGCCAAGAAGCCTGTCTATTGGTGGTCCCATTCTGCAGACATGTCTATTCTGATCACATGTGCAGGTATCTTAGGTGTGTCTCCTTGCCATGTGTCTATTCCGACCATGTGGGCAGATATGTCACCTTGCCAGATGTGTCCGCTCTAACTTAGGTAGTTTATTTCTTGAATCAAAGTGTCATGGTTGACAGACAGCCATTTTGGTTGACATGAGTGACTCCACTTTGTTTTATATACTTTATGCTATCTTCGTCAGACCAATGCCATTTTATTGGTCCAACTCTCCACAGTGAGACCCAGCAGGAACCACTGACATAGCTTCTGGCCAAGCACTGGGAATTTCTCCTAGTTTCCTTGAGTGGGAAGGCTCTGAAAAACAAAAAGAGCAGCTTGCCTGGGAGGAGCCACATACAGAGATGGACTCTTCCTGCCATGAACCATGCAAGGCTGGCTGCAGGGTAGGGGTGGGTGTGGAGTCCTTTCTCAGTTTAAGGGCCACAGGGCAGTGGAAGAAGAACACACAGGCATGGATGAGGAAGTGGTAATGACTCAGACAGCAGCTCTGTTGACCCCACAGCACTTTTGAGGTCAAGAATCGGGTCTTATTCATTTTGGATCAAAATCCACCAGGGACTGTACAGGTAATGCAGAGAGATTTGGATTCCTCCAGTGACGAGTTCAGGGGCCAGGGGTCATCAAGATTATTATCCATGCTAAAGCCTGAGGAACTTTAGAAATAAACATCACACGTTGGGGCTCATTGCTACATCCTAGCAAATCTCTCTCACACGGAAAGATTCAGATGAACAGGGCAGTCTGCTTGTGAAAGGAAGATTCTATAAAACTCTCTGGAGGCATGTTTTATGAAATGACACTGGAACTCTTCACAGATTTGGAATGAATTTCCTGGAATTCCTCTCTTATCAGCCAGGAGGCAGGCCAAAAGCATTAAAACCTTGATGGCATGAAACTGGAAATGTCCAAAATCAGCATGGTGACACTTAACTTTTCCATCCATAATTACATGAAACTGACTTAATTGACTGACTTAATTGACTTAAGTCAGTTTCATGAAACTGACTGAAACTGACTTAATGGCCCAAAATATACCATTCTGTACTGTGATATCATTGGTGAAAACTGTTCAGAATTTGAAATCAGAAGTTTCTTTGTGTCTAAATGATCACAGGCTTTAAGGTAAAAAATCTCCCAGCTGGTTCCAATCATAAAACTTTTCTCTCTGGTTCCCAGAAGCCTACACTTCATGAAATAAATGGCCTATTTATTTCATGATTATCTATGGAAAGTTAAGCCCTGTTTTTATGCATGCTAAGTTCCTCTTTATGAAATTATCAGTAATATAAAAAGCAATTATATAAAATCAAATTATAAAAAATGATTGCATTCAATACATTTTTAATCTATAACTTTTGTTATTTCTTTAAAAGAAAAAAGTGCTGGAAATGTCTAAAATATATTAGAATACAATTTTTAAAGGCTGATCAAACAATTGTATCACAAGTAACTAACTGTAGAGGTTAGTATGCTCCAGTTCCTTTGTAATAAGGTTGCCAGTTTTAGCAAATGTGTATCTGACATGATACACATGAAGCCTGGTCACTGGGGGTGCCCCGATGATTTTTTTTAAGTCCACCTTCAGAGGTCAGGATAAATCTGGAATATACTTATCTTTAAAATAATTATTCAGCTCTTCTTCCAGCCTGCACCAAGCCATGGGCATCTCTTGGGACAGGCACAAGTGCCCAAGACCAGGGACAAGAGAAGGCCCTACCACAAGAACAAAAAGCATGAGCTGGGGTGCCCTGCTGCCCACACAGAGATTGGCCCTGCCGCATACACACAGTTTGTGTGTGCCAAGGTGACAGGAGGTGCTGAGCCTTGAAGCTGGACATGGGCAACTTCTCCTGGGGCACAGAGTGTTATGTGTGCAAACCAAGGATTACTGATGCCGTCCACAATGCATCCAATAATAAACTGGTTGGTACCAAGACCGTAATGAAGAACTGATCATGCTTGTTGACAGCACACTGTACTGACGGTGGTTTGAATCCCACTAGGCATTGCGCCTGGGCTGCAAGAAGGAGGGCCAGGCTGACTTCTGAGGAGGAAGAGATTTTAAACAAAAAACAAAGAAAACTCAGAAGAAATATGATGCAAGGAGAAAGAATGCCGAAATCATCAGTCTTCTAGAGGAGCAGTTCCAGCAGGGCAAGCTTCTTGCAGGCATCACTTCAAAGCCAGGCAAGTGGGGCCAGGCAGATGGCTGTGTGCTAGAAGGCAAGGAGCTGGAGTTCCAGCTGAGGAAAATTGAGGCCCAGAAAGGCAAAGAAATCTTCTTTCCCCCTTTCTTTAAAGCTCATGTTAAAATAAACAAAACGGTCATGTAATAAAGGTGTTTATTCTTGGGTAAAAAAAATATCCGTTGCTTATCATAAATTCAAATTTAACTGGGCATCCTGTACCTCATCTGGCAACATTACTTTGGAGGAACTGGCTGCTTGCCATGACACTAAAGTACTATTGTGATTTTTCATTCTGCATTATACTTAGGTCATTAGGCTTACTTACTCACAAGAGAGAAAAGCAAATTAAATTAGGCAGCAAAATATCACCGAATGTGATTACCCTGGACTTTTGCTCTCTTGGTATTTTCTTTTGCATAACGCTGAAATCTGTACTGGTTGAAGAAAATAATTTGTTGTGAAGTATTTTGGGGTGGAGTAGCTCAGGGTTTTGTTAATGGAACTATTTTGGAAGACATACCTACCGCCTGGCAAAGCTCCACTAACCAGCACAGTTCTTCATTCTAGTGTCTGAATGTCCCCTCTGAAAGAGAAGAGACAGCTTAGGCTTACTGCCACTTATGTCTTGGAAGTTTAGAGTTTTGCATCTTTATAGAACCCAGGCCCATACTTAGGGACAGGAATTAATGTTCTCATTACATCAATAGGCTCAGGGAATTCAGATCAATTTAGTAATCCCTCACATATTTATGGTGAAAGCAAGTATAAATTACAGGCTTGAATTCTTAAAGAGTAGGGAAAACTAGAGGTTTGAGTTATATTTGTTTGGTTTTATTATTCATAGTAATGAAAGACAGTGTATTCAACACTTAGTATGCTATGGGCACGGGACAAATGACCTAGAGTCATCATTTTCCTTACCCTCACAACTTTACCGTCAGATAGGTATTATTAGCTCCTGTTTATAAATAAGATTTAATCTTTCATCCCTGGTTTATGAAACTCACACATAAAGCTTAATTTTAAACCAAGTTCTGATGTTAAAACTTACATTTTAACCACCACACTGTATTTCTTACAATTGGTGTGCTGATTTTGCTTTAGAACCTGCACAATAATTCCTTTTACCTTCACTCCAAGTCATAATTCCTTTCCCCAGATGTCAGGCATATTGAAGCTTTTATCCCTTGGAACCTGGACAAGCAGACCAGACACATTCTTCTGGGAAACTGGAACCTAGAGAATATTTTTCTATGTGAGATGAATCACAGTTCACGTCCATTGATGGGTCCACAAGTGTAACTCTGCAGATAACTAAGTTTCTGTCATCTGACATTTTCCACCTCAAGGCCAAATTCCTTAAGAAGTGCTCATGTAGGCCCAGCTTGGCCCACCCATTGCCACAGATGATTTGATCTGAATCATACTCCCAGGAGGAATATTACAATGATATGTGAAAATCACAAGTCCAAGGTCAGAAGTTGAAGGGAAGGGGCAGTAATGAGAGTAATCTCAAAAAATAAGATCAGCATATAGAGTAGCTGCTTTTCCTCAAGCAAACAGGTGGAATTCAAAAACTCTCCCTTCAATCTCAAGGAGGGTTAGCAACAGTGGAGTGGGAGGAGGAGAAGGGGGGAGAAGTTACAGAAAATAAGTAGCATAGACAGTAGATAGAAAATAGATGGGGGGCAAGAATAGTATGGGAAACATAAAATCTAAAGAACTTGAGACACATGGTCATAAACTAAAGGGGGGTAATGGTGGGGACAAGGGGGTAGGGTGGAGGGCAATGAAGGAGGGGAATAGAACAACTGTAATGGCATAATCAATTAAAAAAATAAAAACAAAAAACAAAAAACCCCCAAAACTCTCCCTTCAGTAACATCTGAATAATCTAAATTGGGAAACTGACACACAAGGGAATTCACATGTTGTAGAGCATAGCGATCTGATGTACAGCACTTCATTTTTTTGGGGGGGGGGGCAGGGGATACTATTGTCCTTCAATAATCAGGAAAATAAAGATGAAGGAAGGCACAAAATGCAAGTACAATTTGTGCGTTAGTTTCCCTCTAGGTTGCTGTTTGCACTCTGTTCACCCTGGGCATTATTGTATCAAGAAGGAAGCTATAACCTTTTGCAGGATCCCTCCCATGCCCAGTTTTGATTGTTGCATTAAATGTTACCCTGGAGGCTGAGAGATTCATACCTCTTTTGCTTGTCTGTAAACTTTGGCCACAATTGCTGTAATTGGACTAACTCATGAAATAGGGGAAGTAGTTCATTGACATCATGATTTTATAGTCCTCCGAGGAAGCCTATTAGGTAAATCAATGTTATTTTTTTCATCATTTTGTAAATGCAGAGACAGAGGCAAGTTTATCTCTCTTAATAAACTCTCAAAATAGAGCCAAGTATTTCCTAAAGGCAATGCATGCTATGTTGAAAAAACGTAGAACTGGGAGTCAGAAGATTTATTGAAGTTTAAGCTCTGTTATTACCCGCCTGTATGATCTTAGTGCTTAACCTTACTGAGCTTCTCTTTCCTTCTCTGCAAAATGAAGCAGCTGAATGGTAAACCTCAGCCATTCCATCTAGCTATAGCATTTAATGATGCTTGTGCAAGGGAGAGCCATTTACAATAGTTCATTGTTTTTAATTAAATCATTTTTATTATTATTCGATTATAGTTGTCCTCATTTTCTTCCTTTGCCCTCTTCTGCCCATCCTCTGCCCCACTGTCACAGTCGATTAACACACCATTGTCTATGCCTGTGGGTCATTCATACAAGTTCTTTCTGTTAAACCAACACTTTGTGCCCAACCCTGTGCAGCAGCAGGTGCTACCAGACTTCTGATGCAAGAAATGACTAAGGCCTCTAGTCCACTGTTTGTATGTGGTTTTGACAACTTTCCTCTGTCATTTTAAAAGTGCTAATCATTACAAGTGAATTTATAATAACTTTGTATAAAAAGATTTTGAAAAGTTCACATAAGCCTTTGGACTTAATTGAAGATATTAAGGTGTCTGAACACCTGGTCTATACCTTGAACATACAGATGGTAAGAGTTCAATTAATATTCAATGAATTAATTAAACTAAGAGTTATCACTGAGATAAGAGTTTTACCTTTGATTAAGTTTACACAGATTATGTTAAGTGAAGTCAGTCAGTGAAAGACAAATTCCATATGATCTCACTTATAAGAGGTGAGCAAACCTAATGAACAAAGTAAACTAATGAACAAAATAGAACCACAGGCATAGAAACAGAGAATAGACTGGAAGGAACCACAGAGAAGGAGGGAGAGGGATAATGGTGGAAAGAAGGGGGAGGGACTACACGAAGAACATGTATGAGTGACCCATGCACATAGACAACAGTGTGGAAATTGACTGTGGGAGTGGGAGGTAGGATGAGCAGAGGAGGGCAAAGGGGAAAAATTGGGACAATTATAATAGAACAACAATAAAAATGATTTTAAACATTTAAATAAACAATTACAAAGAAAAAAATTTACAAATATGAGAGCATCTTCATGTTTGGTGATATCATCCATATTCTATAGGAATTTGAGATATACTAATATTGGTATATTATATTTGCATGATGTTTTATGGTTTGTACCTCCCTTTCATTTACATTGCCCTGTTATATCCTTTCATCTTTTCAGGAGAAAACTGAAGTTCCAAGAGCCTAATTATGTGCCTAAGTCTCTTCAGTTATAGGTGGCAGGAGAGTATAAAAATACAATTCTTCATTCTTTTCCACCACACAGGTATGCTTCTCTCAAAGTTTCCACTTGTCTCTAAGATAATACATAAAAAGTTCAAGGCAGAGCAAAGGATGTGCAATAAAATGGGTTTTTCCCCGTTCTTATCCTGTGGGAAGGCAGGAAAAACACCCCTTTGAGTGGGATGATTTTTCAACAAACCTCGAATGGCTTACTGAAGGTCACACACTGTGTCAGGCTTGGAGGGAATAGTGTGAGCAGGACACAGTCTTTGCTTTAATTTGCTTACTTTCTACTGCAAAAGACAGCTTAGCGAACAGGGAATACTTTCAGCAATGTAGTACCACTAGGAGAGATACTTCCTGAGAGTTAAACAGAGATACCAACCCAGTCTTGAGAGAGTCAGAGACTAGCCAAGAATGTAACCAACCAGGTTGAAATTTGGCTTTAACCAGGCTGGATGGTTTAAAATGTGTCTACAAAATTTTTGACATTTGCTTCAAAATACAGGGTTTAATTTTCCTCTCCTGAGCATAGGCTACACTTAGTGACTTATTTTTAAATAAAAGAATATGGCTGAAGTGATGATGCTTCTCTCTAAGACGAGGTCATAAAGGACAACTGGATTCTGCTTTGCTCTCTTGAGTCACTTCCTTTCTGGAAATCAGTTGGTGTGTTGCTAGGACACTCAGACAGCCATGTGCAGAGGCCCACATGACAAGGAGCTGAGGTCTTTTGATGTGGGCACTGGCCTGCAGTGCCCACAGCGCCATGGATAAGATATGAGACAAATTCACATGGACTACTGAGTCCTGTGGATGAAAAGGGGTGGCATGGCTACTCCCTCAAGGAGGGAGTACCTCAAAGTGGCCTAGCCACTCTCTCAAGGGGAGAGTGTGCTGACCCTGGCTGAGACAGGCTTTTATTGGGTTTAATTTGCACAGGAATACAGGTACAGCTCATTAATCATTTTCAGGCAGTAAGGATCAAATAGTAGATAGCATACAAAGAACTATTAGGGCTTTTCCTGAGTCAGGGTCTATCAGCTAAAAGGCTACAAAACTTTGGGAAACAAACTCATTTCTTGCTTGGGCCTTTATCATTTAACTAAGAGCATTCTTAGCAAAGCAGACTTCGCAGGATTTTACATATTCTTTCTTAGGCCTAATCACCCAGGGAGCCCGCCATTCCCAGCACAGGGCTACACAGCCCTCTGTCATTGTTTCAGGCTTAAGTCAGGCAGAGGAGGCAGACAGCCAAGGAATTTTCGGAGACTTCTCTTAGACTCAGGGGAGTCAGGTTTCATCACAGCCTAGGGGTGAGGGTCCATCATGCCCTTTCTCCATAGCACCCCTCTAGTCCTTCCTTGGGGCCCCCTGTCATCATGCCTGTCTTAGGTCATCCCTCCCTTGAGGAATCTTAACCATCACTGGCTAACCGGCCAAGCACTGGGGGCCAGGCAGGGTGAAGTAAAAGGAGCAGAGATGGTGCCCCTACGGGGAGATAAGCTTTATCTCCTTAGTGGCTTATGGTCGGAAGGTAGCTCACTCAGCCTTAGCCATGGGGAGATTACAGCTTCTGAAACCAGGCAGGGCAGTTCTCAACAGTCTTTGCCAGTAGGTGAGGAACAGAGACTGCTGCTGTCTTGGAAGTGGATTCTCCATTCCAAGGCAAGTCATCAGGTGACAGCAGCCATGGCCAACAGCTTGACTGTAAACTCATGAGAGACCCTGAGCCAGAACCTCCCAAGTGAGCTCTTTCCAGTTTCCTGACTCATAGAAATTGTGAGATAATAAACATTTGTTGTTTTAAGCTGCTAAATTTGGCTAATTTGTTATACTGCAGTAGATAACTATATGCAGCCTATGGGGGTGGTGGTGAAAGTGTTCTAGGTCAAGGTAAGAGCATGTGCTGAGGTTGGGAAGAGAGAACACAGTGTGTTTGAAGAAATAGAGCAGGTAAGCACAAAGGGAGCCTGAATTTGGGGCAGAAAGAGCTGCGGAGGTGATAGTAAGGTAAGCATATCATGAAAGTTTTTATAGAACATGAAAAAAAGTTAGGAGTTCTTCCTGTGGCTTGTAACATTTACTAAACCCTTAACATGGTATAATTGGCATAAAACAAATGACCTTTTTATCTTACTTTTCCACTTTCTATAATAACATAATTTTTCTTTGGCTAAAATTATATTTTAATATATTATTTTATATATTTTAAAAATATATTATTTTAAAATTATTTTAAATATTATTTTTAATTGATTATGCCATTACAGTTGTTTTATTTCCCTGCCTTCATTCCCCTCCACCCTGCACACGCTCTCCCCACCATTTCCCCCTTTAGTTTATGACCACGTCTCAAGTTCTTTTCTTATTGTTTTTTCCTTTTTTAAAATTGATTATGCCATTACATTTGTTCTATTTCCCCCCTCCATTCCCCTCCACCCTGCACACCCCTCCCTCACCATTCCCCCCCTTTAGTTCATGAACACGTGTCTCAAGT